TTCTTGATTTTTCAGTGACGTGTGAGGGCCCAGCCCACTGTGGGTGGTGCCACCCCTGCGCAGGTGGGCCTGTGTTGCATAAGAAAGCAGGCTGAGCAGGGGCCAGGGGAGCAAGCCAGTAAGCAGTGTTCCTCCATGGCCTGTGCTCTAGCTCCTGCCTCCAGCTTCCTGCCCTGAGTTCCTACCTTGGGCTCCCTGATGAACTGTGACTTGGGAGATGTAAGCTGAATAAACCCTTTCCTCCCAAGTCGGTATTGGTCAGAGTGTTTTGTCACAGCTATGGAGAAACAAACTAGGACATACATTATAAAGAGATTAAAGGGAGTTCCCTTATTGGGGGTGGGGGGGCTGGGGATTGGTTGCAGATCTTGTACATGGTAAATACATGGGCTGAACTATGTCCTCAGGCCTATGGCTTTGTTTTTAGAAAGGATCCTAGGTGTTTTTAACAGGCCTACTAAGGCCAAGAAGTACTGCCAGAGAAACTATTGCACATGTGGCTTGGGAAGATGCTACTTGTTTCTGGGACTGCGCTGGCTTGCAAATTATTTCTTGCAAGTTTGAATCAAGATAAGTACAGTTTGGGGCTGGGGAGATGGCTCAGTGGTTAAGCACTCTGGCTGTTCTTGCAGAGGATGGGGTTTGATTCCCAACACCCACATGGCACCTAACAACTGTTGGTAACTCCAGTTCCAGGGGATTTAACATCTTCTGGCCTCTGTGGGCATTGTATGCATGTGGCACACCTACATACATGCAGACAAACATTCATATGCATAAAATAACAACAGCAACAAAATAAGTACAGTTTTTATCAGTCATACTTTCAATGACTAATAGGACACTTTTGGTAATTTTTTTCTGATTAAGCTTCAATAGAGTAATAAACAGTTTGTATCTTGTTATTTTTCTTATCTTACCTATTTCTAGTAATTTGCTGTATAGCTTTATTGTATTACAGTTGATATGTAGACTGATGGTTAAAGCATATAAACTGATAAACTGTGACCTACCTGAGAACTCATTACCACAATTAAGATGATGGATATATCCATCACACCCCCAAAATAATCTTTGTAATGCTTCCCTTTTGTCCCTCCACATCTCTTCACAATCTCTCACTTTGCCTCCTCTCTACACCAAGAGTTCATTTGCTTCTGTCACTATAGATTAGATTGGATTCTCTGGAGTTTCTTGTACAATGTATTCTTGTCTTGTCTGACTTCTTTTGCTTAGCATAATTATTTTGTGAATAACTCAGTATAACTCCAGCTTCAGAGGATTCAACACCTTCATCTGGCCTCTGTGGGTACCCGAACACATGTGGCGTGCGTGCACGCGGCGCGCGCGCGCGCGCACACACACACACACACACACACACAAATAAATTTTTAAAATCATCAAATTATGTTCTGCTCCTAATCATTGTCAGATAACCCTTGCAATATCTGACATTTTCTTAGCCTTCAGAGTTACAGTTTAACACATGAGAAACTGAGTTTCACAGATTGATTCCAGATTCATCTTTTCATAAGCCAGAACACTATGGTATAACTTAAAAAGCTTTTAAATATAAGAAAATCATGTCAGATCATAAAACCATAGTCCTCTCATTGAATATGGTATCTCATTGGTGTTTATGTCTATGTCTTCTTCAGTAACTTGGTATGCCAAGACATTATCAGATCAGATCTGCCAACTCCTTTAGGGAAGATACTAAATTTATTGATTATTAATTTTTTATTTCAAAACAACTTTATACCACATAGATTTTCATGTACCCTTTACACAGCTTTCCCAAAGAGTCACCTTATATAATCACAGTACAATTATGGAATTCAAAACTTGTCGTGTGCAAAACTGTTACTCATTCTCAAGAACTTGATACACTTTACTGATATTCTACCAGTGCCATTTTCCCCCAGGTTCAGAAGCCAATCCAGAATTCCACTTAGCACTTAATTGTCATGTCTTCTTGGTCATACTTAGTCTAGGGGAGTCTCTCTCTATTTTCTATAAATTTCATACTTAGAGTTCTGGATAATTTTGCAAAATGTTCCTTTGATCTTTTAGAACTGGCTTCTGCACTTTGGGTGAGAATACCTATGAAATGCCTACATCTCATTGCTGATGATATTTTTTGTAGGACATTTTGGTTACTTAGATAAGGTGGTTTCCCAGGTTTCTTCACCATAAAGTTACTGTTCTTACCATTGAAATTAATGAGTATTTGAAGAGGAGATACTTCAAAATTGTGCAAATACCCTGGTTCTTCTCATACTTTCCCCACAAATTTTAGGGAGTATGGATTTTTTTCTGCTGTAATTATTACTTGGTTTGCATAAATACTGAAATTATTTATTGGTATCATTCCTTCTATATTACTAGACCTCTATTATAAGGAAGAGTATTAGGACAAATATTGCTTTCTAAAAGTATTCAGGTTGAGTCTTTTCTTTCCTAACCCTTTCTATGTGGCTGTGTTGTTCACTTGTAGGATGGCTAGGTTCATTTGTTACTGTTTGTAGTGCACATGGGTTGATCTTGAATATTATTTATTTGGAGGTAAATGTGAGACATCACTGTAGTTCTAAGTCAGAAAACATGAAAAAGCATATTCTGCATGTTTCTTATTTGTAGATTTTGATATCTTTTTGTAGTTTGGGGCATTTTGAATGCTGTTTGGTGATTTTATCTCTTAAGGATATTATTCATAATTGGCTTGGCTAATGTACTAAAAAGTTAATGCAATTATTTTCTTTCTTAGAAAGTAATTGTGGATTTTTTTCTAGAAAGAGAATAACATCAGGAACTCTTCTTAGTGTACATTTATTCAGCAATAATAATACATTTTAGAATTATAATATACAAAAGAAAAAAAGAAAATTTTCATTGTTTTCAAATTCCTGGCCCGATAACTCATGAGGTTTAGGGACAAATCAGTATTATCAGGAGTTCTCAGAAATTTCAAAATTATGATTATATTAAATATCCTTCTAACAATCTTCACACTATATTATTTGAATAGCCAAACTTCTTATTTAAAAAATAAAATACATGGGGCTAGAGAGCTGGGTCAGTTGTTAAGAGTGCTTGCTCTTCTTCCAGAAGACCTGAGTTTGGTTTTCAGCACTCATATCAGGTGAGGTGGCTCATAATCACCTATAACTCCAGCTCTAAGGGATTGAATACCATCTTCTGGACCTGTGAGTGCTGCACTGACATGCATATACCCACTAACACACACACACACACACACACACACACACATAAATGAATAAATGAATAAATAAATAAAAATTTAAAAATACTAAAAAAAGAATAAGAACAAAATACACTGTTAGTAGTACTTACAAAGAACCGCAGTGCACAGAAATACCCAAACAATAAAAAAACATAATTAAAAATTCAATACTTCCAATAAGGTAACATCCCCTCATGGAATCACATGTAGACACTGCCCATTTAAGGACTTATTTCATATTGAAAACGTGTTATAGCTCGAGAAAACATTCAAAGGACTTACATGCAGTAGACCTGTCATCTATGAACTCATTAGTCTGCATTTTTAAGTCAATTCCATTGCTTTGCTGTAGTGAATAGAACAGCAATGAACACTGGGGAACAAATATTTCTATGCTAGGGTATGGAGTTCTCTGGGTAAATGCCCAGGAGTGAAATAGCTGGGTCATATTGTATTTCTATTTTAATTTTTTGAGGAGATTCCAAACTGATTTCCATAATGGCTGTATTACTTTGCAGCCCTAAGTCCTACCAGCAGTGAATAAGTGTTCCTCTTTCTCCATATGCTAACATTTGTTATCAGATTTTCTTTCTTTCTTTCTTTCTTTCTTTCTTTCTTTCTTTCTTTCTTTCTTTCTTCTCTCTCTCTCTCTCTCTCTCTCTCTCTCTCTCTCTCTCTCTCCTCTCTCTCTCTCTGGTCTTTTTGAGACAGGGTCCCAACTGGCCTTAACTTGCTAATGTAGACCAGGCTGGCCTTGAACTCACAGAGATCCGCCTGCCTCTGCCTCCTGAGTGCTGAACTTAGAGGCACGTGCCTCACCCCCGGGTAGATTTCTTGATGATAGCCATTCTGACTGGGGTGAAGTGATATCTCAAAGCCTGATGACTAGGGATGTTGAACACTTTTTTTTGTGTGTGTGACAGGCTCTTATTATGTAGCTCTGGCTGGCCTGGAACATACTATGTAGATGAGCCTGGCTTTGAACTCACAGAGATCTGCCTGTCTCTGTCTCCTGAGTGCTGGGATTAAAGGTGTGCACCACTATGCCTAGCAAATGTTGAACACCTGAAAAAAATTTATTTATTTTTGTTTTATGAGTGTTTTGCCTGCATGTATGTAAGTGCACCCATGTTGTGCAATGTCTATTGAGGCCAGAAGAGAGTGTCAGATCCTCTGGAACTGTAGTTATGGATAGATGTTAGCCACATGTGGGTCCTGGGAACCAGATCCAGGTCCTCTGCAAGAGCAGCCAGAACTCTTAACTGCTGAGCAGCCATTCCTTCCCCTTTAAATTTTTTTGAACACTTAAAAAAGGTTATTGGTCACTTGTGTTTGTTTTTGTTTTGGAAAACTGTCTATTCAATTCATTACCCCATTTATTGATTGGCAGTTTTCTTTAACTAGTGCATTTTGGAAAGATATTAAAAGTTAAAAATTATATTACATTTAAAAAATTTTCCCTTATAATTGTATTTGAAGGGGCTGAAGGTGTAGCTTAGGGATAGAATATGTGCTTAGCCTGAGTGAGGACCTGTGTTCAGTCTCAAACTTCAGACTTGGATTTGAGTTATTTCAAACATTAGAACTGATAGACTCACAAATAATGTGAGGTATAGTTATTATTTTAGTTTTTCATCTGGAGGTATTTCAGAGTAGCTTTTCCTACACACAAAGCCAAATAAAACATTTGCCCAAGTCTGGTCAATAGTTGGTGGTGTTTCATTGTGTACTCTTTCTCTTTCCAAATTCTCTTCAGGCATTTGGGCAGTCCTTCTCCATCCATCGTAAAGTGGCTGAGGATGGAGAGACACGGGAAGAAACACTTCTGCAGGAATCTGCATCAAAGGAAGCTTACTATCTGGGCAAGATCTTGGAGATGCAGAATGAACTGAAGCAGAGCCGGGCTGTAGTCACGAATGTCCAGGCAGAAAATGAGAGGCTCACAGCTGTTGTACAGGATCTGAAGGAGGTAAACAAGCCAAATGCTCTGCAAGACTTGTCTTTCAGGACCTAATTGTCTCTAGAAATCCCCTCACAGACAGAGATGTGCTTCACTAATCCTCCTAGGTGTTTTTAATGTAGTTAGCAATCAAAATTAGCTATCACAGCTAAGAATAAACAAAGTTTGTCAAATCCTTAGTTTGATGGATGCTGTGTAAATGTAATAATTTAATTAATGTAAACATACTTAGTAGAAGGGATAATCTCTTGTTTCCACAGCATTGTTGGTACTGGCAAAGGTATAGATATTTGTAAATCGTGTGTAAGATGTGGCTTTATATATATGCATGTGTGTGTGTAATTCCTGGGTTAAAAAAAATCTCATTTGTATAGGATAACTGAAAGACCATAGTTTGGGAGTCAGCCATTGTTGGGCTTGAATATCTTCTGTGCCACTTACCAACTGGGATTTTAGACAAGTTATGTTTCTTACCTTTGTTAGCCAGCTTTCCATTACTGTTTATATTTTAGTCTATGTGCTGCTAAAGTAAGCACAAGTAGCTTTTTTTTTTTTTTTCTTTTGTCTTTATTGAGACAGGGTCTCCTTGTAGCCCTAGCTGTCCTGGAACTCACTATGTAGACCAGGCTGGCCTCGAACTCACGAAGATCTGCCTGCCTCTGCCTCCCAAGTGCTGGGATTAAAGGCGTGTGCCACCACGCCCAGCACAAGTTGCTAACTTTTTAAGAGCCATATTGAGTCAGGTACCACTAGTATATTATGCTGTTTTACTGATGGGGTATGTGAATCAAAGAGAGGTTTAGTCATTTATCCAAAGTACATGGATCCTCAGTAAGAAGCCAGGGTCTGAACTCAGGTAAACTGGCTGTGATGTTCACATTGTTAGTTATAACAGGGTAATTGTCAAGAGCACACATTCCCACTAGTGAATGAAATTTCAAGGAAAATATATGGTGCTTTCGTACCTGTATTAGTTACTTTTCTCATTGCTTTGTAACATATCTCACAGAAGCATTTTAAGGAAAGAGGGAAGGATTTATTTTGGTTCACAGCTTGAGGGCGTAGTCCTTCATGGTGGGAAGGCAGAGAACATGAGGTGGCTGGTCACATTGCATCTGCAGTCAAGAAGCAGTCAGAGATGAATGCTGGCACTGAACTTGCAGCCTGGGGTCTCAGCTCATGGGATGGTGCCACCTACATTCAGGGTGGGTCTTCTCACCCCATTTAAACCTCTCTGGAAATGTGCTCACAGAGATAGTGAGACTTTTGTCTTCTAGGTTATTCCAAATCCTGTTAAGTTGGCAATGAAATTAACCATCATGGTTCCATAGCTGCTATTATGAGAATGTGTTTCCCTCAGAGTCATAGGTTGAAACATCAGTGTCTTAATATTAAGAGGTGGGACCTTTAGGAGATGGTGAAGTCCTGAGCACAGAGCCCTTAAGAATGGGATGGAAGGAGCTGGATAGTAGCTCCCTACTCTTCTGTCTCTTCTGCCATGTGAAGGCTGCATGTCTTCCCTCCAAAAGACATAGCAGGAAGACTCCATCTTGGAAGCAGAAAGCAGCCCTCACTTAAACACCAAACGTGCTGGTGTCTTCATTTTAGACTTCCAGCCTCCAGAATCATGAGAAATAAATTACCAAACTGTGGTATTTTGTTGTAACAGCATGAATAGGTTAAGATAATAGCTGTTTGTAACTTGTTAGAACATTATTAATGTTTTAGTAGGATATGACAGTGTTGTATTTTAAATGCTACCTTATCTATATGATTTTTATCACATTTGAAATTCCATTTTTTTCCTCAGTAGAATGTATGTTTCATAAGTTCTGTGACTCAACTTCCAGAAATCTGTTAATCAACAATTTTTCTGCCACAAGGACTCCATATCCATAAACTCACAGGGTGAGAAGGCACCTCAGTGGTGGTTTTATATGCATCTATATACATATATTGATATAGATATAAATACATTTATTTATTTATTTATTTATTTATTTATTTATTTATTTGAGACAGTCTCCCTGTAGTCCCAGCTGACCTGGAACCTTCTAAGTAGAACTTCTTGAATTTTACAGAGATTCACTTGCCTCTGCCTCTTGAGTACTAGGATTAAAGGCATGCACCACCACACCCAGTGTTAAGAGAGTATATTTTGTTAGTTATTTATTTTGGTATTTCTAGTTTCAGCACAGTGCTTGACAAAGAAACAGAGATTAGAAAATTTTTTGGTTGAGTTTTATTAAGCTAGGCTGAAAGAGCATGCTTTGGGAATGAGCCGTTCTTGGGTTTGAATATCTGCTGTGCCACTTACCAATGATGGGATTTTGGACAAGTTATATTTGTTACCTTTGTTAGTCAGCTTCCCATTGCTGTAATAAATACTTGAGATAATCATCTTGTAAAGAGAAAAGGTTTTTTTTGGGTCACAGTTGGAGATTTCTGTCCATGATCAAATGATCTCATTGCTTTTGGGTGAGGCAGTGCATCATGGCAGGAGATGTTATGGCATAACAAACCAGAACTTACTATGGTCTTTATACAAAATATTGGTACACATAAAAGAGCAGAAGAGGAAGGGGCTAAGGTCCCACTGTTCCCTTCAATGATAGGTCCTCAATAACTGGAAAATCTCTCACTAGACCTTACCTCCCAATAGTGCCAAGCTAAAGACGAAGGCTTTAACACACAGGCCTTTGAGGGATACTTATCTAAACCACTGCATTGCTGAAGCTTCCTTTCCTTCTTTCTAACATGGAGATGATAATACTGATGCACAGACCCCGTGTAAAATGCCAGGTACAATGAAGGTGTACAATTACTGCTCATTCCCTGTCTTCTGCCTCCCTTCCAAGGTTCCCGTGTTACTGCTTGGCAGTTCTAGTTTTGGTTAAATGAGAAATTGTTTCTACCAGCTGGCCATTTACCAGTCTCTGATTCCACAGAGAATTCCTTTAATTTTCTATTTGTATATATAATTTAGCTTATTGCTAACAATTTGAAATATTTAGACAAAACTGTCTTGTCTTCTCAGATAGAAAATATCTAGATCCATTAGAACTTCCCCAAGTGATGTGGCTTCAGGGTACCTTAGCACACTGGCCATCCTTTTCAGGCTGACCTGCAGCATGTCTTTAAGATGGGTTCCTGTTTTGGGGGACTAGAGAGATGGCTCTTGCAGAGGACCTGGGTTTAGTTCCCAGCACCCACATGGTGGTTAACAACTGTCTGTGACTACAGTTCAAGGGGATCTGACACCTTTTTCTGGTATTTATGGGCATTGTATGACATGGGTGCAGCTACACACATGCAGTCAATACACTTATGCACATAAAATAAAAATAATAAATTATTTTTAAAATGTGCTCTTGTTTTCTAATGACAGTACCACTATCTTTATCCTTGTTGGAAATCATTGAAAACGCAAACTATGTATTGAGTTTCTCTTTAAACATCCGTTTCAGTTCTAATCCTTTTGGATTTTTAATTTTTCATTCATTTATTCATTCAACATTTTTAGTGCCTGCAGTAAAGGCTATCTAGATGCCTTTGAAAATAAATAATCTCTCCTCTTTGGCTCTAATTTTTTCTTTTCGTGAATGTCACAAAAATGGAATCATGTGGTATGTACTTTTTGAGATTGGATCCTTTCTCCCATCATAATGCCTTTGAGATTCTTCTAAGTTATATATATCAACATTGAGGTCATTCCTTTTTACAGCTGGATGTTACTCCACCATATTGACATACTGCAGTTTTTTTTTAATTGATTTTTTTTCTCTCTCTCCAGATTTTGGTGGTTATAAATAGAACTATTGTATACACTTATGTAGATTTATGTTTTTGTGTGAGCATGCATGATGGTTAATCTCAATTGCAACATGATATCTAGAGTCATCACTTGGGAGATGTGCCTCTGGGCATGCCTGTGGGGGATTATCTTGATTAGTTTAATTGAAGTGGGAAGACCCATCCACTGTGGGTGGCATCATTCCCTGGGCTGAAATTCTGGACTGTGTAAAAGGGAAAAAGTGAGCTGAGTATAAGAATTCATCACTCTCTGTTTCCTGACTGTAATATTATGTGACCAGTTGCTTCAAGCTCCTGCTGCCTTGACTCTCCTGTCATGATGGACTGAACCTTGGAACTGTGAGCCAAAATAAACCTTTCCTTCCTTAAGTTCCTTTTGTCAGGGTATTTTGTCATAGCAACAGATAAAGAAACTAAGTCAGCATGTGCTTTCATGTCTCTAAGGTTGATTAATATTTAGGAGAGTGGGGTGTAGATCAGAGTGACTATGGCTCCATTTTACATTACTTTCAGCATTCTATAAGTGACTTTGTTTCTCTGCATCATTTTTACTGTGTGGTATTGTCAGTATTTTTTTCATCAGAACTACTCTAACCAGTAGTGATATAATGACCATTTTTATTTTAATTTTAACTTTCTTAATACATAATAATTTTGGACTTTTTTCTTGTGCCTATTTGCCTTTGATGTAGTCTATTTAGTGTCTATTTAAGACTTTTGCCTAGTTTTAATTTGATTGTTTCTTTTCTTAGGCAAATCTTGAAAATAACACTGTGAATATGGCAATATAATTTGATGACTGAAATTTAAAGCACCAGGGTTTTAGGGAGCATGCTTTGTAAGCAGCCATGAAACAAAAAGGGCTGTAGGAATTAAATAGCACTTCAGCAGGCTGCAGAGGAAACTGTCCCCAAAGGAGAGTCAGGTTTCCATTAGAGGCAGGTGAGGTGTGAGTTATACACATTTGTGAGATCTCCTGCTGTAATTTCATATGCTTATAGAGTCAGTGAATAACAATTGGTCATAAAATGCATTCATTATTGTAAGAAGCATACATATTTTATCCATGTAAAGACTGCAAATATTTTTCCATTATTTGGAAAGTTGGGTTATTATATTTGACAATGAGAAATATTATAACACCTTTTGAATAGTTTTCAAAATGATATCAGTTGATCTTTATTTTAAAATATCTT